CATATAATCATAAGATAATGAATGGTCATTGTCTTTCATTTGTTTCTAATCGGCCCCTCATCAATCTAAAACAAAATTTCGGTCTCTATACTTTAATTACATAAAACTTAATACACATTAGTCAAAATTCATCTTTATTGGATCACTTTAATTGACTAATATTTTTTAAATAATAGCACCACACATTTTAATATATTACGTGTGGCTCTATATATGTTAGAATTTTCCAACAATTCTTAAACTGAAAATAGCGCAGAATTCCTAAATTACTTTAAGCATTTCACTGAAAACAACATAAAACATAACAGTTCAGATGGATAACTAAATCAGAATGAAAAACAAGACTCAGTAAAAGAAGATATAGCAAATGAAGTGCTAAATCACCATAGCCACTTCAAATCCAAGAGTCTGCCCTTAGATCTTCAGAAATCAGTCTTTATTGGAGCTACTGCCACCAGCACCAAATGAAAAATCCTTTCCTCCCCCAGAGTCGGGGTTCGTCCCGTGAAGATGTGGACTTACCGAACCAGACATTTGTTTCTCCGTTTCAGTTGCAACATTTTGTATGAACTTTGCATAAGACTCCTTCAACTGAACAAGTTCTTCGAAACTGAGCTCCTCAATAGGGCGCGGGAACCAATATTGACCACCCTTCTTTTTCTCTTCTAGTTCTTCTAGACGCTTTCTTTCACCTTCTTTTACGTCCTCAATCTTGGTAAGTTCCAGGTTATTTTGAAGTATTTTTTCACTTCGATGAGCCTGGATCAGTTTCTCTGTCTCATCGAGTACTCGATCATTTCCAGTAAGGAACCTATCAGCAACTGTGTTCACATCTGGGTGGCCAAAGGCAAAAGGCTTTCCATTAGGCGAGAAAAAAATCATGCCAACTTCAGCACCGGTCAAAGTGCAGAGCTCGCTAGCCTTTTTGAGAAGACCAGCATGTCGTTTGGAAAAAGTAACTTGCAAGTTTTTTTCGTTCCCTATTTTTTTCATGGCCACCTTTTGGCGACCCTTGCCTTTTCTGGAGGGCGCTTGACTGGATGAACTCATGGTGAAGAATGAGCAAAATAAAAGAGCAGGAAGATGAGAAGTGAAGTTCAGATAGCTGTATTTTCATGTAAGTAAATGGATTTTTATAAGAGTCGATTCCTGCTAGCCGGATTTATGGAATATGTATCCCAGCTGTCTTCTTCAACTCTTGATTCACGAAATTCTGTTCAAATTGTATATTACTCTGCAGTTCTTCCAATTTGTTTTGGATTGTAATTATAAAATCTGAATGCCACCAAAATGAAAATTAAATTTCAATCCTAATTAAGGTCACTGTAATAATTGTTTTATATGTATATATAAGAATGACTTTAATTATTGAGTAATATAACGATGCACATAATAATGTCATGAAAGATTGTAATGACTGAATTTCTTTTCTTTCCGTGTCTTTCATGTCGTTATTATGTACACCGACAAATAGAATTATTCTTAATTAAATTCCTTATGTTATTATTTCTCTCATAATGTATATTAATTGTGTGTGAAAATAGATAATCTCCCTTGTAGATACCACATAAATATAATGAAAATGAGAGAGTAAATTAATACAAGATTGCAAGGACCAAATTCCTTATGATTACAACCATGTTACTGTTTCCAGATGAAGCATTAAATTGCAATGGCACCCAAATTAATTTTAAAATCATAAAAAAAAATACTATCCCAGATATAGTGTAAGTGTTATGCCCTAAATCCAATCAACGTTGAACATAAACACTTTAAATATATATAATTGATGCATGTATGGCAATACCTATTATTTAATTGAANAACTTTGGATATAAACACTTTGAATATATATATAATCAATGCATATGTATGGCAATATCTATTATTTAATTGAATTAATACTCTAATAAATTAAATAATAGATTCTGTAGATTCAAGTCTTGGTGATTTGTTAATCACCAGGAGTTGTGATTGTGAGATACAAATTACAAATGATCGAATCTTAAATCGTCCATGGTCGAACTAATAATTAGATACGGATATCGTTATTACGGATAGATCATCGCGTGTGACATTCTTACTTGTGAAGTAAGTAGCTGATCTCACAAGCTAAAGTGTGGTGACACTTGAATGAACACGTGAGTATTTTGTTATAGAACAAAACATTGGAGACCCCCTGAGAGATTCCACATGGATAACTATCTGAGTGTTAGTGTTAATCTCTAACGTTCGGTAGTGGAATTGGTTATTTGACTTGAGATCGTCATAGTTCCTTATATGAGGACAGTCATACTTTGATGGTGTTGGATGTTACTCTGTCAAGGGTCGCTAATACAGCATCGTTCGGGTATGTCAAGAATCATATAAATGTTGTGAATGATCAATAGAGGATTCATCACTCTTAGATAGTAAGAGATTATGATCTACATTTTATCCAGTTAAATTGATAATGAAATCCTTGGCCAAGGTGAACTCATAAGTCGGAAAAGAGTTTTCGACGTACATTGACTTAACAGTGGGATAAAAGATATGATCGATAATTGAGATTGACACATATCCATATC